CCTCAGGTGAGTTTGATTTTTTGAGATTTGCAATAGTAATGGTTATTTTTACAATAGTTGTATTATAAAATTTATTTTCTCATCAGGATCTGGAGGTCAAAGCATTTGACTGCTAGTGGTTACTGGAAACTGTCCCCTGCGTAGTATGAGCGCATATCGAGTACGATACTGGCGCAACTCGAACCATACGCAGTACTATTGTTTTCCCTCGACATACTGCGGGAAACATGAACAAACGATGGTCTAATAATAGACGGGGACAATCACATATTAGCCAACTCATAACTCGAAACGAATGTTCATATTGCTGAATGTTGCAAGGTTAAAAATTCCTGATTGATTGATTCGTAGTAAAACGGTTGACAAATTTCACCTTTAATAAGTACAATGATGTAAGTGATAAAACTTGTAAATATAAAGTTCTCCTTTTATGGAAGTAACAGTTTCACCGAATATAATGATAACCACGCAAAGCGTATTGCACATTTTTATTAATCAAACGAACATTAATTATTTCTCAACATTTCGTTTACTAATAATAATTCACAGTCATCAAATTACTCAATATCAAAATGAAACGTAAAGTCATTTGTCTGAAAAAAGAAAAAGTCTGCGCCTATTCCGTAATAAAGAGTGTAATAACACAAATAAGTGAATCTAAATTTACCATATTGCCATGATCACGTCATTATAACCCCAATTTGCTTAAACAAGAAGAGAATAAATAAAATCAAATACAACAGTGAAAGCTGTAATAAATCTATTACTATCGTCGTAGTAAATAATCGAGACTGAGAATGAATTATGCAGGAAGAAAAAATACTTGATATTTGTACGTCTTCTATACAAAAAGTCATTCTTTTTTTTTCTCTTGAGCCTGCCACCCAACATTCTCATCAGTCTCTTTCGTTTTTGTTCCAAAAGCGTTGGTTTTTGGATTCAGCTTGGCTTGCTTCTGCCCGTCTTCAACTTTTCATTGCATCTCTCGTCTTTTGTCAGTCCGATACTTCTTTCTCTACGCTTGCTTCGCCTTTCTTTCTTCAACCCCCGCCCGATAGTACTTTATGCAAATCCATTCAACAGCGCTTTGGCTCCGGCTAGCACTGTACCGATGACACCACCTTCTTCTCTTCTAACCATCTGCGTATCGTAATCGTTGCTATCGTAACCAAAGCTCACTTGGGAGAGAATAGACTCGCTCTCAAGCGAAAGACTCCCATAATCGCAGTCATAGGCGCCGCTCGAGTGTGTCATTCCTGGCATGGGTTCTATCATTGCTGCCCGCACAAATACCGACATTACAGCAATGTAGAGTAAAGCTTTTATGCTTTGGTGTTGGTTTGACGGCCGTGAAGAGGCGGAGGAGGAAGTAGTCGTGGATGTGAATGTTGGAATCATGGTAAAGTCGTAAAGAGAAAAGACAGTACTCGTTCTCAGATATTAATTCTCTGAGTAAATAAGATATTGTATGGTCGTTACTATTGTCCTGTGTAGGTTTGTATGTCAAATACAAGAGTTTTTGTCTGGTTTTTAAAGATTATTATTATTGTAGCTTGTATTCCCCGATTGAACACTTTTCGAGATAATATTTGCAATTTCAACAACAAAGAGTCTTTGCGCTCTACTTTCATGCCGAATAATTTCTCACAGTCTTTATACTGTTTGCTGCGACTGCGGTTCTACAACCAATCGAATGCTTGAAGTGAAACTATGACTCCCTTTGAACAAAAAATGAGGCGTTGTTCATTTGATAAGCGTTTGTGAGACAGCATGGATCAATGGATGATGGGACATTCTGGAACAAGGAGTAACGTTGAATGAACCTTGATGCACATGCAGTAATACTGCTACGTAATCACAAACTATGTAATTTTATTGTTAATAAAATTAATATATCGTTGTATATTCTATATCATCTCATCAATATTGGCTATGAATGTCTTTTGCATAGACGCTAACAGTTCACACTCCTCCTGTCGAGGCGGATGCAAAACAACTCAAACTCTTTTTCTTTTTTAGTCTTGTTTCTTTGCCTCTTTATCTTTATCGTACAGCGATTCATCATCATCAGCATCCGCTACTGTCGCTCTCAAATCTTTCTGCGTTTGATCCATTCCCTCTACATTCTCTCCCTCCACGCTCGGTTTCTTTTTCGTTACTTCCCACCCCCAGAGCGGAATAAAACTGTCAACGAACCCAACATCGGCAAACAAATTTGGAAAGATCCATATTCCAGGTGAAACCAACAACATTGTCAAGATAAAGAATATCAGCCTTACTATTGCAAGAAGGATAAACAGTCCAAAAAGTCCCAATATCGCAACTGAGATGTACCACACGCCGTTACGTAACAGGGGTGGCCAGAGCGGGAACAAAACTGCTGCAAATACAGCCGATACTAATGAGATACCACCAAGGAGTATTAACAATTGTGACCCTTCATAGAACCAGACGTAATATTTTTCCTCTGACCACATTTGATGATGGTTTATTTGGAGTAATCTAGTTGTATTGCGGCCAGAAACTTCTGAGCGATCAGCGGATAAAAAGAAAGCATATGTGTGTATTTCTTGGAGTAATTTGTTGGCGTCGGTGGCATCTGCGACAGGAGGAACGTTTTTGAGTTTTTTATATGAATCTTTGAGTAGAGCTCTAACCGCGGATTTGCCTAGATATAAAGGTGAGATATGACAATCGCGACACAAAGTTGTTAATTTACTACATACATTCTCTTGTCTCTTGTCTCTACATTAACACCACTCTTAAAACCCAATCCAGAACATATACACACGTATGCATACCTTTGAAATATTCAACCCTCTTCCCGTTTAGTATTCCCTCTCGAGTAGACATTCCACTAGAACGAGATCTCAGGTATTTTATTACGTTAAGGAACTCGGGAGACGCTTCTCGTTGTTTCTCCATGAGTCATTCAATTGACAAAGTCAAGAAATTTCCAGTCAGAATAGTTCGGTGAATTTTCATTTTGTCACGTGGATTAGACCAATGAATTGGGGCCACGAATTACAATCTATATTGAGTATAACGATAGTAAGTTATGATTATAGTCAAAAAGGAATCAACATATTCCTATATACAGGATGATCGTCATAAACAAACAAACCGAATTGTCAAGTAATATACGGGAAATAAAGGATCGCAAGGATGCGTATTATATTATATTCATATGGTCAACTTCAACCGCCGTTCTCATCATGAAGAATATTCATCGACGTCGCAAGATTGCAATAAAAATTGCTAAATTGCGTAATAGACATACATGTGTATTATAATTAGACCAAACACATTTATAATTTTAATAATTGACATAAAGTTCTAACATAAATAGGTATGTATAACTGATCAGATGTTTTCAACTGTGCAAAATACAACTTTAATTGCCATAATAAATTTTTACTTTTATTTATTTAAAAATGATTAAAATTGCTATTACTATAGAGCTGCAATTATATAATAATAATCACTGGTTTTTTCAAAGTTTGACATCCGAAGCCCAAGATCTTCAAGCGCTTTGTTTTGTTTATAGTTAACTATATTTTGAAATTATATTGGATTCGTTCGTCAATATAATTTCAAATTTTGACAACTTTATGGCTTTTTTAAGCTCATCGTCGTCTCGGGACCTACCAAAAGCCCAATAACGTTGGGAAATATGGCAAGGGCTTCTTCTACATTTCTTCTCCATCTTCTGCGATTCCAATTCCTCCACTATATACCGTATTTTTTGTTGAACTTTGACGGTACAGAAGTACTCTCTTTTATGGACACCAATTTTTCGATATCCTCAAATATCATACTTGCATACATCAAATTACAACATTTATTTTTGCTTCTAGAATTGCTCCGTCATCAATTTATTTTCCCTTTCGTCACTTCTATGGGCCACCGCAATGCCGGCAACATTGTAATTATATTCGGATCGTCTATAGAGTACCCCGGCTAATGCTTGTACCGGTCCTCGACCGATATTTTGTTGCGTAGTCTAAAAATAATTTCCCATCGTCATCCAATCCACAGTGTCACTGTCTCTTTGGAATGTAAGTTTTACACAACATTCTATCCCCCTATCTTGGCTGCATTGTTTTACAAACATTATAAGGTTTCGAGGATACGGTAACTTGGACTCATCATTTTTTGACCATTTTTCGTCATCATCGGGGGGTTTTCTAAATTTTCATCGTTTCAGCTCCAATATAGAATTTTAACCAGTAACTTTTCGGCCAGAATTAATTGATTTGCACCAATTACGGATGAACGCTGAGATACTCATCAATGACCAGCAACTCTCTTATTAATGTTTCCCGCAATACATATCCCCACCATTGTCGTTGCGAAATATTGCCCCGGATCATTGAAACATTGTTCTGCATTAGGCGTTCCCGTAAACTGCATGCGCGGTTATGGCCTAGTAGATACAGTAATTGGTTGTCACGTCATTTTCTTCAACTTCATAAATAGACTTGACAAGGAGGATTTATGAAATACTGAAAGATATGGATTACTTGTTCTATGCCTGTCCGAAACTCTGTAAGAAATGATATAGTATTCACATATAGTATCCAACTATCATTGTTTGATCCTTGCCATCTATTACCGATACATTGCTTCCGTCTCACCTTCATTTTCATTTTCATTTTCGGTTAGATCATAGATGCGTGAGCACATCCTCCGTTAAACGTTCAATTCCCAATAGCCAGTCCTGCAATTTAGTCTCTCGTTCAGCTTCGGGTAATGTTGTTCATGTCTTCGTGCAGCAACGTGGAGTTTTCGTATTGACATTTTCTACAGTAGAAGTTACTACACTGCAACTGGATCGCCCTATCATAACAGATAGAGTATGTGATAGTGAGAATCATTATTAATCGCAAGTGACTATATCACCATATTCAAAAAAAGCACATTGCGCCTCCCACTTGTCACACATTCCTGGTGTGAGCAGGAAGAATTCCATCCGTTACCAATCCCTAAGTATTAGTAAAGAAAAAAAATATCAACTCTCTTTTTTACCTTCCAACGATTACTGTTGTAACATCCGATTTCTTGTGCGATATGGCGTCCATCATTAGTCTTTGAAAGACTCATCATTATACAGCGCGTAGTATTTCTTGTGTACGGTCGCATTGCATCAGGTATGGTACAACGTTTGATCATACTCTTTCGACGGAAATATGTTATGTTTGTAATTTTATTGGTACTGTATGATGACTATGACATCCTTAACATATTAATTTAATTAATTAGACGAATAACCTATAACCCGCAATTACAAAAGCTTATACTTGGTCAAAATCTTGAGTCACTAAATTTAAGCAGTGGACAATGTTAATATGGTAAATTGACTTCTTAAATCAGCATGCTATCTTCATATCTAATATCAGCAACTGAATTAGGCAGATCTCCAGAGCATACTAATACTAGAATATTTACTCTCCTTTATGATAAACAGCATTCCATACATTAGTATTGTCCTTTTCCACCTTTTTAATTAGCCAGTAAATATCATTCCAAAGTGTCTTTGCATCAGGACGCTTATCAGGGTCAGTATCACAACACCGTTCAACAAGTTTCTTGTATTCCTCTGGTGCGGAATCAGGCATCGGTGGTCGTAGTCCATCCATAATCTCGCGTATTAAACTTGCATCCAACTGCCTATCTCTAAATGGTGGTTCACCAGTAGCCATTAAATACATAAGAATACCAAAAGAATACACATCTGATTTCTGAGTAAATTTGCGGGTATGGAAGACTTCTGGTGCAATAAAAGATAAAGCGCCTCGAATGATTGAAATTTGTTGATGTGAATTCACGGATCGTGAGAGACCCAAATCGTGTATGTATGTTTTATCTCGACGACCATCAGCATCATGCAGAACTATGGTTCCGCCATGAAGATTACAATGCACTAAACCCGCATTATGAATCCTATTCAGGCAACCTGGAATACCCTGCAAACACCATAATTTATCCTTCCACGTCAGTTTGTTAATATTTCGATCCAAATAAGACAAAAGACTACCCTTGTTAGCATATTGCATAACAACCATGTATTCTTTTGTTTCTGGGTTTTGTGTGATTCCATAAATGTTAAAGGAAACATGTGAACACTTGACAAGATTTCTGAACTATTAATGAAATAAAATAAATATCATAGTCAGTGTTTAATTAAATATCACTTTAATTAATGTTATACAATTATTGCTTACCTCGGAAATAAATAATTCTGGTCTTTCATTAAAACTCTTAAATTGCTTGAGTACAATTGTTTCTTGCCGTACATCTGAATACCATCTATATTTGGCAGTATAGACAGTTGCATCACTTCCAGATCCGATCTCTTTGAATTCGTAAAAGTCACTATACCACATGTACTTGACATTAACGTATTGGGCACGTCGCATAAACCTGTCCAATATTGCACACACGTTGTAGTGAAAAACTAAATAATATTCCCGAGTAGATGGCTCTTGAGTGGCCCCAATTATCCAAATATTATCTGGTGTTAATATCTCTGGGTATTCCTTGGTTAGCTGTTTGAGTAAACAAATAGAGTAATAGTCGTTACAAAGCTGGTCGATTTTAAATGCACGACACACACGCTAATAATACTATTTGCATTTTACACGTAAAATATTTACCTGGTAAAAATCCAGTAATTGATCATCCCCTTTTACTTTGTTAACCATCTTTTTGAGTGTCACGCGTGTCAATTTATTTGTTTTTCGTTCTGACCATGTCGCTGCATATGTGCATCCGTGACGTAATGATGTCAGTTCTTGTACGTTTGTCAGTAGCGAGTATTCTACCCACAGTATGTAAGCATCATATACGGTCTTTGTATTATTCCACGATTCCATAATAAATGAATCCAATGACTTGTTACCCGTAGTCCAATCAAGAGGTATTGGTGCTTTACAATGATAACAAAATATAGTTGATTGAGTTTTATGCCTAATCGCACACCCCAGACATAGTCCATGGTCATGATATTCTTTTAGTAGACAATACTTTCGTTTGCTTGCATCATATGTAAATCCGATAGTATCCCAAACATCCGTGGTAAGCATATCCGGATACATATCACATAACTAATGGAAATAATATGTCAATAATTATTTAAACTATTCAATAAATATGACGCATAAGTAACATCTAATAATTTACCTCAGCATAATATGAATCATCTGTCTCGTCTGTTATCTCGAGTGGAATTGATACAGCATATACAGTAGCAGGTGGTCCAGACAAGTGTACACCGCCTTCCCCATAATCACCAATGCGATCATATGGAATCCATTCCAAATAGGCGTCGTTTGGTGACTTTGTTTGTACTTGAGACTTCTTAATAAGTTCGTCGAGTTGCTTATTGTTGCTAGTCCATCCGTTGGATAACTGTTTATGTCCGCAGATGCACCACACAAGACTACATCGGAGTACTCCACATGCGGTGCAGAACCCATATTGAGAATAAAAATAGTCAAAGTTTCTATCAGCAACCATATAGTAGTTATCATCATGCTCGGTAAATCCCTTTATGCAGCTGTTGCGATCCTCAAGCCATGTGGAATATCGTTTAAAGTGATTGAGATAATTTTTGCGCTTGTGTGTCGGAAGTGAGTATATTCTGGCAAACTCACTCACAAGTGTTGGTGTACATTCTTCGCTGCTCCCAAGTAACAGCAACATTATCGGGTGCTCAGTCGTTTCAGTTCTCCTATGCATTTTATGTTTCCACATAGCATAGTAGATATTGTCAATTTGACTCGACTCTATTTTGGTAATTGCCGAATATGGAACCCATCCAAGTTTTTGTCGGTTGTTATTATACGTATCAACATCTGGTACGGAGGATTGAATTAAGTCGTCGATTGCTGCGTTATGAATGTCGTTTACAACAGCCGACGACATGGTTTGAATAAAAAAGTTCTTGGTAAACTCAACGTTTATTGTATTACAGGATTATTATCGTTATGTTACGCAGGATTACACAGAATTTGTGGGACCTAGATTTCGATTTTTAGTTACACTTGTTTTAGGTTCGGATTTGTAAATACGATGCCCTTGGACCTTCTCTCTGATGACAATAAGACACCGACTTCTACGAATTAATCGCTTTATTCTAAACGTGCCGTTAGTTTTAGACGTCTCAGACAGCAATTGAAGTTCTCTGGGCGCATGAACTTGAATAGCCTTATTCGGAATCACCGAGTCAAATCGACAACTTCCATTACGCTAGTTACGAGGAACCGTTCGATGACCATAATGTTACGATTAATTAGAAGCGATAAAATAAAATCTGCACACCGAAATTTGCGAATGATAGTTGCCAGAATATAGTCAAAAATAAGTCAGCCAAGTTAAACGATATTCCGATTGGATCTACTTGAGCGTGTCGATATTGCGCGCTAAGAAACTATACCGTATAATAATAACACATCCTTTTTCATAGACCGTTTTTCGAAAGAGCAAAACATTTACTTGCTTCTTTTGCCTTTGTCTGTCCCGACAATTTCAATTGGTGATTTTCCAAAATTTACGTCTTCAAATGACAGGAAACGCGTGTCTCCCTCATCAACCAACGCAAAAAAACTATATTCTCACTGTCTTCGTTCAATAATTTAACAAGATCATAATACGATGGAGAACTAGCTTCTTCAATGCTATAATCATTGATCAAGTAAACAAAAGACACATCGTGGTTGATTTGATTCTCACCTGACAACAACTATCCTGAAATCAGGCGGTCTAGGCTTTTTCTTAACTCGAATTCGGTTTGTACGCGTAAAACGATATCGAATATGTGGATATTTTCCCCTCAGTTGACGCGTTGTCGGATTCACTAACGCTATCAACCTCATCATAACGCCTATCTTTAATTTACTGAAAACCTCACCTGATATGAATAAATGTCAGCTTTACCCTTTACAAGAACAGAATAGAAATACTTGATCACTAGGCTGTTCTTACCGTAACTCGTCTCCGATCCATCAATTATAGGCCTAATCATCTCTTCGTTTGGTTCCATACCATCCTAGCATTTCCGCTCCATACCTCAATGGTATCTTCAAAAAACTGTTGTATGCCAACCCTGAGGGACTTGAACATGGTTGTATATCAAGTGAAGGATGAGCTTGAGGTGGGAAGGAAAGTTTTCTTTTGACAAGTTTTTTTGGATGTTTAAAGTGTAATTAGAGTTAACACTAAAACGGTGTGGGATCATGTCGTATTTCGATAGCTTTTATGGTCGTACAGCAGATCGATGCTGTACAACCATAAAGTGCCCGCGAAAAAAGTGGACTCTAATCAAACGAACGGACAATTATTTGTTAGACATCATCGAACATGACCGTTAGCTTCACTCTGAGGGCCACCAGACCTGTTATTAATTGTATTGGACGACGAGTCTTTGAGCAAAGCAAATTGCCGAGACGTTGCCTACAGGTAAGATCTTGTTAACCTATAGCATTTTGATCCAGCTACAAACTTGTCATTCAAGGGCGATGAACAAATATGTTATGTGTTAGGCAGGAAAGTTACCAAGTAACTCGAACAAAGTTAGAATTGTAGAAGTTGGCCCGCGTGACGGTCTTCAAAATGAGAAAAAGCTTGTTCCGACAGAAATCAAAGTTGAATTCGTCAACAGATTATCAAAGACTGGACTTACAGCGATCGAAACTACATCATTCGTATCTCCCAAGTGGGTGCCTCAGGTTAGAGATTATTAGAGCAAGGGAGTGTTTTTCTTGCGCGCAATGATTCCTCTAATATGAACGAACAAACAAACAAGCATTCTTTGATTTAGATGTCTGACGCGAACGAGGTAATGGCGCAAATAACGCGCGTTCCGGGTATTTATTACTCGGCATTAACACCAAATATCAAAGGACTTGAGAATGCCATTGCTGCAAACGTAGAAGAAGTGGCCATATTTGGCGCTGCATCAGAAACGTTTAGTAAAAAGAACATCAATTGCTCGATAGATGAGAGCTTACAACGTTTTGAACAAGTGATCAAGAAAGCCAACGAGAATGGTATTCGAGTGAGAGGTTACATAAGCTGCGTTCTTGGATGCCCATATGAGGGTGAAGTAGCGCCCGAGGCTGTCGCTGATACCGCCGAGAAGATGTACAAGATGGGATGTTATGAGGTTTCACTCGCTGATACTATTGGAGTTGGAACACCCGGTCGGTTTGGCTTTTTTATTTTGATGACTATTGGTTTGCTTTGCCGCCCGTTATTTCCTACCTACTTGGTAGCATTCAGTTCCTAATGCCAAGATGCAAAGTTTAACCTATTTCCATTTTGTTTTATTCTAAAAGGTTCAATGGCAAAAATGCTTGAATCGGTCATGAAGGTAGTTCCGCCCGACAAACTGGCGATACACTGTCATGACACGTACGGCCAAGCCCTTGCAAACATTTTCTGTGCGTTACAATTTGGAATACGAGTTGTGGATTGCTCGGTTGCCGGTCTTGGCGGTTGTCCTTTTGCTAAAGGTGCTACTGGAAACGTGGCAACTGAAGACGTGCTTTACATGCTTGATAAATCGGGTTATGAGACGGGAGTTGATCTTGCCAAAATGGTGGACACTGGAAATTATATTAGCAATTTTCTCCAAAGATCTAATGGGTCCAGGGTCGCGGTGGCGCTGAGCGCGAACAAGTCGTAACGATAATTAAAAAGTTTGAAAACTTGGAACGTTGCATGCTCGATGGTTCGAGCATTAGGAATACCCCCACTCCTATCCCCCGATCCCATCCGTTCGCTAGAGTAATTCATTAGACATAGAAAGTGATATAGTCGTATATATGGGATTCTGTGTCGATTATCTGAATAATAGCATAATAGCAAATAGGATAGCCTAACACTGGCTGCTATTTCCTATCCCTCCTTTTTATTTAATCCATCCAAAGCGTTATCCTTTTCCAATTTACGCCGCACCGATTCCGAAAGACAATTCCCCATTATTAAATATATTTTGGAACATGCCTCTGTACACTGTTCGATCGCCTAAACGTATGAATAATAAATTTTGAGTCAGATATTCATACCTGGTTTTATACACATGTTAACTTACTCTTATAGTGCCACTAACAGTGACTTCTCCAGACTGTAACATGTGTGTAACTTCATTTAATGAAGGCATACAAGACAGCACCAAACTTCCTTGCGCATGTTCTTCTTCTCTCAGCGTACAATCTATCCAAATCTCATCATCAATATAACACTAGAACAGACGCGCGTCAATTATAGTCATCCGAAATTCAAATTCACGCGCACGAGCAAGAACAGCCCCTTTAATTCAAATCATCTGTCTTACCGCCGAACAAGCAGCAACCTGATCCAACATCTCAATGCCAGCATCAGCTAAAGCCACGGATGCGGCAGTTATCGAGGCGGCCAAACAAGATCCATTACCGTCGTTCTGTAATATCGTAACAAACACATCAATCGTTGACTTTGGCAGCAAGTCTAAACGCACTGCGGGTGCCAGGGCTTCAAACAAAAGTTGAGAAAGTTCTTTTTCTTGTGGATCCTACATAGAATCATTGATGGAAAACCCGATAGTGAATGAGAAAAAGAGGGGCAAGGAAGAAAGGAGGAGAGAGAAAGGAAAAGCAAAGATCACACGCAAATCTACACAAGTTTCTTTATCGCTCACGCACGCGCTGAGGTGACCTTCTTTTTTGACATGAAAAAGGTGCAAACTTTATTTCACAGTTTAAAGACCCTTTTCCGCTGAAAGCTGAAATTTTGGTTGCACGAGGACCGTATCTATATAAACAAGTTATCGGTTAACTGAGTGTAATAAAGTTCTTCATGAAGCATGCCGCAAACAATTTATTAATTACTAACACGGCGCACGCAAGTTTGGTTCCCTGAAACTCGATATATGCTGATCCATTAGCTTGAGTGATTATTCCCGGAGCGAGCCCTATTTTAAATGTCTCGTTTTTTTTAGCAATTCAACTTTCAATTTTTTATTGAGAAAAAAAAAAGAAAGAAAATGACAAATGACATGTCGACACAAACAAGCCTTTCGAATTTTATCCAAACTTCTTCCATCTTGTCTTATATCGTCTATGGTCTTGAGAGGTACCACATGCAGAGTATCGTCGTCATCTGCTCTTTCTATTATTGGCTTGACACTGGCCTCTGGACCTGGGATTCGACGCCTGTCCATATTTTTCCCCCAAATCCCTTACCAGGCAACAAAAATTTAAACCAGGAATTCTTTGGTCTACGATTGGTTGGTTACCATCAAATAATAACGAATAATAATAAGACTTAATGAGGGTTACAATATTTCGGATAAAAAGACGGCACGATTATCCAAAGAACGAAAGAAGGATTTTTGTCAAACCTATCAGTGTTTCTAGTAATCCTAGTTGGGACGGTAAGCATTTGGTGCGAGAATAACGCTATTGACGGTATGGAAACAGTCCTCCATTATCAACCAGATGGCCAGCCTAGTAGAAAGCGAATTCGTTAGCCGTAGTGAGCTTGAAAGAAAATCGAGGGTTTGGAAAATAACCTGTCTGTCTCAAAACTGTTGATACCGAAATTCATATCTTTTGCTGACAGTATTCCTGGGATTCGTTTTAATCTGCAATTTTAAGATTAATTGCAAGAAGAATGATCGTACTGAATTTAAAAGCGTTCAATTTCTAGCATCCGACCATTTTGTCTGTCCAATACATATTGATAATATTGGATAAAACCATTTTTTATGCTCAAAAGTAAAAAGAGATCAACTTGATGAGAAAAGAGAATACGATTACCTGATTATCGTTACACTATCATTTACGTGTAAGACGATTTCTGAAATGACATTGATCGGAGAGATGGCAAAGAAACATGCTAAGGAGTGTCCGGGCAGGCTGATAAAGTTTTGTTTTCAATATCATGATTTTATCTTTCACGTCTACTTGTGATATTTAATGGTGCAAAAATTACGTCAAAGATTGCTCACCTCGGTAAATAGTTTTTGCGACTAACCAAGCCTTTAAGCATTCGCTGACATATCGTTGAAACCCATTTTACATTAGCAGTATAGATTCCCCACAAAATCTAATCTTTGATTTCGTAAAGTTATATAAATTTGTTTTTATGCATTCGAGTGTCTTGTAACTTATTTCTTTTCTTCGAATTTACCATTAAACCTTTTGCCAGCCATCAGATATTCATGCAGTGTTCCATTGATGCGGTGCTGCTTTCTCGGAAGGTTTACATAAATAGAGTTTGTGGGTTTTGTATTGTGGAAGAATAAAAGCTTCAATTTTAACGTCGACAATTTAATCGTAAAAATAGCAATAATGTATAAAATAATACAGCCAAATTTTAACTGGCACGTGTATAATATTTTTATACATAAATTACGTATAGTTTTTATGGGTATACTTGGTTCATTAGGATTACTTGCTTTTGAATAAATATACTAGATTTGTTATTAAAGCAACAATAAATAATGTCAATTAACATACAACACTGTATACTTGCAAGTCTATACGACATAATATCATGCATGAGCGATTGTTGTCGATGTCATCGTCACTGTTTATACGCGTGGCTT